GGCTTTCCCCATGGTCTAACAGAACTTGGCATACATCGTGTTCCACCCATGATCTGCCTCATATGCCTGGTGCTGCCTGTGATGTGATCTCAGACTTGATTGGATGAAAGGTCGTATTTGCACTGCCTATACCAATTGTCAGGTTCTGGGTAGCAGATCCTCGCTCACAAGATATGGAGATATGCCTGCAGTTGCTTCCCAAGTGTTCGGTCATCCGGCTAAAGCCTTGGATCTGTTCCCTCTACCTCACCCCCAGCAAAATTCCCCCAGCTCAACACTTCAGCTTCTGCATTAGTGATTAAGCTAAGCAGCCCACCTCAGGAGATGATTTTATCAGCCTCTCCACAATTTTGTCTTCACGCCGTTTCCACCTGGTTTCCATGTCGAGCCAGAGCTCGCGGGATCCGCTGGTTTGGGTGTAATTACGTATGTGGCTTACCACAAATCAGTTCCACTGGGCTCCTCTGAAGGAACAAGCATCATTTTCACACCTCCTTAACCCAGCAAAAGGGTTTCAACCACGGTAAAGCATTTTAACGTACCTTCGCACTCCGTAACATCTTTACTTTAGTAGAAGCTAGTGTTGACATTGGAACACCCAGACGTCGCAGTATATTTTACACAGTCTCTCCTCTGGTTCTGTGATTCGGAGAGACGAGGAGAGAGAGGAACCAGAGAACCGGGACTCGGAGGAATTGGAGGTAGGTCAAGCATCTGCTGAGAAGTTGCCACTCGGGCTGGATAAATTCACATATGTTTTAAACGCTAATCTAATTTCAACTACAGGGTTTTTTTTTACCCCCTTTTTTCCTGTGCTGGAGGGGATGAAACATGTTTTAATGTTTCTCTGGAGCACGGTGTGGTCTGCACAGCGATGGCCAGCCGTTACTCACGGTCCTGTTATCGGCCGTGTTTTCGAGGACGGACACATGTGCAAATGTAATGATTTCTTTCTGCAGGAGGAACAGGGTGAAGAAAAGAGAGAGAGACAAAAAACAGGAGCGGTGGAGCATTCTTTAAATGTTTCCCCTGGTGACCATTCATCACGATCAATGAACTCATTTTTTCATGAAGTAATTTTATTTATTGTGGTCTTGCATATTTCTCTTGTATCCTTTCTCAGACAATCACATTAAAAGAACAAGGGGGGTCGAGTTTCCTACTTTTGGGGCTAAAAAAAAAGCCAGTATATTTTTAAAGCATAATTCAGTCTGAGTTTGACAGAAAACTTTCTATCTTTGACACGCACACAGAAAGGGAGGGTGGTCTTTGTAATAGAGTAGACACTCTGAAATATTGTGACAGCCCCTTCATTGGCATATTTATGCACGAGAGTAATTACCTGCACCTACAAGAAAAACAAAAACAAATCTTGTGATTTAACCCTTTGCTATATTTACCCAAAACCAAGGGAATAGGTTTGGTTTCAACGTTGGTAGGGACCAAATCAGCCCCGAAACTCCCCCCACCTGCTCCCCTAAAAACAAACAGTGCTACCACAGTATTGATATGGATGTCTCCCTACCTCTCAAATCTACACCCTTGCCCAAAACATAAAAAAAAAATGGTGAATGGAAATTAGAACTACAAGCTCTTTTAAACCCAGAGTCCCTGGACCTCATTGTGATTGGTAACTAGGTTATGATATAGTCTATAACCACTTGTGCTTCAACAATGATAAGTAAAATGAACTTTGCTAAAACGCTTATGTGATTATCAAGGCACATGCCTGACACAAACAAAAGATTATAAAGATACTTGACACCAGCATGACGTTGGGTTTATTCTACCTTTGGTTTGTTTACTGAAGTTAAGTACTTTCTTGGAATTGGGACTCACTCCACGTCCCCGCCCCACGTTTAACAGAAGGCTAATAAAACATGGCCCCATCCATTCCATCCTGGTGGCCGGTGCCCTCTGCTGTCGCTCTCTGGCTTCTAAGCCATCTGGGCATCTGGAAGAGCAGACAGCCAATCAGCTCGATGCAACTTCAAGACTCCCCCCCCCCTTCTCAGTCAAGTTTCGTTTTGTCACTTGTTTGTTCTCTACTTCCCAGGGGTAACGGAGAAGCATGGATTACCTGGCAGATTCAGGGGGCCCAGAACATCTCATAACTCGGGCGGCAGGCCCCAAGGTGACATTTTGTCCAGGGGGCACTGCATTTCCACATATGCCCCCTGCTACTTCCTACCAGGTCCAAAGGTCCAGCAGATATGACATAACTACCTGGTATAGGAAAGGAAGAACATCTGGGTTTTTAAGGTGTAACTGGTGACACCTCATCAAAAATAATCATACCACAGGGCTGCATTGGGGTCTGCACATCAGGGCAGGGAATATTTTCACACTGTCCACCTCCCTGCCATCTCAATCTATCCCATACCTCATTGGCGCACACTGAAGGCATCATTGCCTCATTGACATCTCTTAATTGTCCAAATCAGCAAGTGATTTTGTAAATAAGATGAAAAATGGGGAAATAAGTATCCCAGGGAAGAAAAAAAGAGAGAATGCGATTACCAGCCAGGCAACGACGGCGCCCACGTCATGGGATGCACCTGAAAAAACATCATTTTTCATCTTGGGACTGTGCAGACTGGCGTCTAGACGCGGGAGGTTTGTGCCGGGAGCGTTAAGTCTTTATCCAGTCTCTCTCTTCCACACATTACCCAAGGCGCGCCCAGGAAGCAAAAGGGACAGCAGGCAACAGCTATCTAAAACCCAAACACAATCTCTGCCATAATTCCCCCATCCAGAGAAACTATTTTCAACGATCATTGTCAATTGCCACATTTACAGTACAAAGGTCTGCATTTTCCGCGTGACTATCTTTGCTGGAATTGGCTCGTGTTTGTTAAACAAACTCGCTGTCACAATCATCAGTGTAAGCCCCACATTTATGACTTGTTGATTTATGACTGGATCAGATATACAATCTGCTTTTAGAATAGTTACACCTCAATTTTCATTGAGTCTCTGTTTGTGGGACAGTGCCTTTTCCCCAGAAGTTCTTGATATACTGCACTATCAATCTTCTCAATGTGTACACATCTTAGCTCAGTTGTTTAATGGCATAATCATTTTGATCAAGTTCCTCTGTAAGGCTGCTGCATTCCCAAACACATTGCATGAATGTATATGCTAAAAGCCCAGCTAGTTCAATTATCTTAATAGCATCATCATTAGTCAACAATTATGCACTGTCTCCTGAGATAAGGGCGATTATATCTAAGGTTTTGACCCAAGTTCCAGTCAAAGGAGACGTGCTTTTTCAAGAGCTCCCTTGGGATAGAACTGACATGACATTTTTTTTTCTTTTAACCCTTCACTTTTTTTCCTACTGACGATTTTGAAAAACGGCAGAATGACCGATGACGGAGGATGTGGATAGGTGGGGTTTGTCCTGTTTTCAACCTGTCAGACAGCTAATTAAAGTTATTGAGTAGGTCCCACAACTGATTGAGATAATAACTGAAGAGCATATTTCCAAAACTCACTATGTCCATTTTTTGTTGTTTTTGAGATGAGACCGCCGGTGACCTAACGTCAGGCTTCCTCATCGTATGTCACAATAACGAGAACCGAAACTCGCTTATATAATCCAATGATGAACTTTCATCAAATTTCCTAAACTCACAAAGTCCACAGCAATTTTCCCAAACATGTATCTTGTGGACTGAGTTATGAAAATTTGCACACATACATTTTGGCATGATGAGGGTTAAAGACAGATTATTTCGTCTACGCAGCCTGGGATTTACCAGGCTTACATAATATCACTGGTTCACAGAAAGACCCATTATTTACTGCCTTAAGCATGTTACACTGTGTAGCCTGAAACACCCCGCTGTCCAAATGTAACCTATATCTCCATGGAAATTGTTGAGTACCACCTCAATATGCATGGTGATTCTACAGATTCTACAGTATTCTACAGTAACTGACACAAATAAAAGTAGAAAAATAGCTTTTTTTTTTACTGTTCATCCATATGTGTAGTGTGTAAGTCAGTGAAAGTGTTTTATTCAAAACCAACTATAGTTGAACTATGATATTTTGTCGAGATGAAATGGAGCCTAAGAAACCCGATTTTACTCAAATTTGAACACCTATGCAGTTAACGCTGCTATGCCTGCATACGGCAGAGTACTCGGTTATTCTTGCCGTTGTTCCAAGATCAAGGTCACTTGTATCGAAGACACACTTTACTCTATTTACCTGGCAAGATGGCTATGCTATCTAAATTCCCAATCCGCCCAGCTGAGCGTAGCAGTGCAACATGCTGTCATAATCCTGCATCTGCACAGTGGCCGAAAGACAGAGAGGCAAAGGTCATTTTCCGGCTGGTCCGTGACTCATGCGGAATGCATTTCACCAGCTTATTTGTTCCTCTCGGGCCTGCAGTGCACGTCACGGGAAAAACATAGGCCCACACGCGTGCCCACACTCAGAACGGCCCGGGGCCTTCGGCCCGTGACAGCTGTAGTGGATCGAGCCGTGGCCAGAGTCTCCCCGAAAGCAGTAGGCTTGGCCATCGACCTCCGGAAGGGGCTCCTCAGGATAGAGCTGGGTGGTCCGGGGAGGAGGTGAAGGGGTGGTGAGGCGTTTCGTCCCTCCCCACCTCTCATCTCAGCCTCTTAACCTCTCAGCTCACCCACAAGAATCCCCCCAGGCAGACGGCAGTGAGGAAGAATTTCCAAACCAGACTGCGGAAGACTGCAGATTGTGAAAGCACCTCAAGTAGGGGGTCCATTTAAGTAACAGTTGCAAAATTGCACCGCAGATTAACTCCATATTGACTGCTGGTTTATTTTCCTACCTGAGGCAATTGTCTCGGGAGTTGGAACGTCTTTCCTTATTTAGATATGGGCAGTATCAGTGTGTGTAAACTGCATTGTAATGGACAAACATCCTGGTAAGGGAAGAGTACGTGTTCTCTCTCTCCCTCATCGATGGCCTTGCCTTGAGCAGCACAAAGTATTTCAGATATGAGACATACAAAAAGGGAAAAGATTATATTTCATAAATGATTAGATATTTCCTTTTTAATACATACATCAGGCCATCCTCTGGCAATGTCACACATTGTACTACTGTTAACAGACGCTGTTTTCTTAGACATGGCATGTCCAACGAACAGTTAACTGAAAGCTAGCAAATTTCTCTGGGAATGTCTTGCAAATATCATGTCACGGAGACACTGAGCGGCTTTTTCCTTGCAAGTAAGACAGTAGGACTCTGGGCAGTCCTGCAAAAACCACGTCTCGACATTCACAAACGTATCCGTCACAGGACCTGCAAGATGACATGTGAGAATGGACACGGAAATTCCTGAGACGTGTGCTGTTCATAGTGACTTCACCTGCACTATCTGTACATATAAAATTACACATTACAGACACACGCACACACATGCACACACCCAGCTACACAAAACGCAGACAAAAGCCACCATCAGTGAATGGTTCGTCATTTTGGTTTTTGAGCTATATGAAGAGGAGAAACATACAATATGCTTCAGCATTAAATATTCCATAAGTGACTGCTATGTAAATACATAAATGTGTTATTTTAAGTTAGAAGGAGTATTATTAAGGAATTTTGTTCAGTTTTAAGAAAAGAATATAAATTTCTCTTTAAATAATAAGACATTCAAACAATATGATACTTAATATTATTACTGTTTTAAATATCCTGTGAACTATATACAATTTGTGAGGTTCATTTTTCATCTGTGAATGTGCTTGGTCTCCATCACAGTCTATAGTAATGGCAGTGGCATAAAAATGAGCAAACGAGTGGTTTCAGCTTGTGCAACACAAGAGGGTGTATTCAAAATCACATACTTGTTTACTTGTTTAAATATAGTATGCAAAGTGAGCAGTATGGATGAGACAGTATGCAAACGGTACCCAAATGACATATAAATCTGCAAAATTCTGAAGGTGCAACTGATGGATGCTACACAAGGCCACTGGAGACGCAACCAGAGACGAAGGACGTCACTGCCTCGGAAATTTGTGTCAAGGTGGTGGAGGAAGTGCAGCCTCTGTACAAATTTAAGTAGAAAAGTAGTTATATAAGCTGATTCAAACATGTATTTTTTGTTGAGAGTTTTTAACTTTCATGGGGGTACAGCTACCCCATTGGTAAACATCCAGGTCAGGTGATACACAAGATGATGACTGCAGTGTGCCGGAGTGCATGCATACTGTTCTTATGCATACATACAGTGCACACTACAGTTGAGGAGTAGGCTTCTAATGAAATTCAGTATGTACTGTGTAAGTATGTGATTTCAGACACACCCAAAGATTCTCACTGGGTTAACAGGGAGTTGGAAACATCCATTAACAGTGGGGATTCCTGGGTCACAATCAGATTAGAGTAAGGAAATTCCACATGTGACAGTATTCTACATCAAAAGAAAACATCAAAGTACAATAACTGGAAAATAACAGACAGACACATACAAACAACTGAATGGTTACTATCCGTTAGTTCGGGGGCCAGATAATGAAGAATCGCCTTCCATTTTTACATAGCACTGTACTCTGCTGGGAGAGAAGGTCCATTCGGTATATTATTTCACCAGTTTTTTTTCTTGAGCAATGTGTAACATTGAGGATAGCTTTTACCGAAATGTCTGTTTTCAATAGAATAAATAGTCCGATAAGAACAGTAATAAGGTTAGCATGAGGGGTGCAGTAGGGGCACGGATACCCCGAGCGAACCAGAGGGTCTAGCACTTCACAAGGGCCCTTGAATGCGTAAAATTATAGAATTATATAATGGGGGAAGCCCAAGGTGACATTTTGTCGGGGTTCCCAGAATTTTTAGCTACGTCCCCCCCACCCCCCGCCACGCCACGCCTCCCACAATCATCCTGGAATTCTCCCACCGTTCCCCTCCACCCTCGTCAACGCTACCGGCAGCCGCAGCCTTCCACCACCATCTCTTCGTAGTTCTTGAGCACCACATGGTCCTGCTGGTCCAGGTAGAGCATGGCGATGGGGCTGAGGGACGTGGGCACGCAGCACGGCCGCGGCACGTCCCTGTTCACCGAGTTCACCAGCGTCTGCACCATGGCGTGGCTGGACGAGTTCATGTGGTCGGCCAGGGGGAAGCGACACTCGCCCAGGCAGAAGTAGGCATGGTAGCCACTGGGCGCCACGATCCACTTGTTCCAGCCCACATCACTGAAGTCTACGTAGAGCGGGTAACGCCGGCAGAGGTTCCGGGAAAGCTGCTGCAGCCTCGCCCCCTTTCCGCCATTTCGCTTCACCCTCTGCTCCCTCCGGCCCTGTCGCCTGCCTCTCCCCCAGTCCCCATTCCCATCCCGTCCCTTCCTGTGCCTCCTCTTTAGCTTCTTTCCCCCCTCTTGGCGGCCCGCAGAGCGAGCCAGGGTCTGGCCGCGCCCGTCATGACTGTAGGTCACCAATAGGGGTCTCTCCTGTGCCCAGCTGGGCTCGTTCTGTCCGGCCGCCCTACGCACCCTAAGTCGCTCACGCCTGAGCTCTTGTCCGGATGTTAGAGACCCGTTTAAGGGCGTCACCTCTATGACGAACTCCAGCAGTCCCGTCCGGTCAGAGGCGCTCTCAATCAGGTCTGAGTTGAGGGTGAAGCTCTCCCAGGAACTGCTCTCGCTGTTGCCGCTCTGGATGAGGCACCGTGATTCCAGCAGCGTGGTTCCCAAATCTGAGTGGTCCCCAGAGAGGAACAGGCTGACCCTGTGGTTACCAGCACTCCTCTTACCCACCCCGTGCAAAAGTCGGAGTTCCGCAGAGGTGACACGCTCATCCACCGGGATGGAGGAGATGTTGAACCTTATCCGGATGACGTCTGACGCCTGTGTCACATTCAGAGTGAGAGGCAAGGCATCGCTGGACTCTAACAGACAAGAAAATGACAAAACCCATTGTTGATCACCATGATGTCAGCTATACCATAATAATAATTTAACTGAAGATTCAGCACTAAGAACATTCCACAGCTATTATCAAACTCCTGGCAAAATATCTGTCATTCGGTTTCATTCTTTTAGTTTTGAGTTTTTCAAAAGCATAAGCTTTCTTTCGTAACACTCATACTATCTCTGAGACTTCATGGAGCCAAAACAGTATATAAATGCATATACACATTAACGCTTAATCAACAGCCATTCCGATTGTGTGGCCTTCCCACTCTATCTTCTGCGTGGTCATTGCCTTGGAAGCCAGATTAATAAAAAAAAAAAGCACGCAGTACCCAGCTGAAAAATCTGAGCTGGCTAAGAATTTCTATGGCGCCCAGTGATTGGATGTGTCTGGTGAGGTGCATTATGGGAAGTAATGGTTTGACTATGTCCCAAGTGGTCTCACCCATGTGGTGGAAGCTTCGCACTGTGTTAGCCCCCTGCACGTGCTGCACGGGGAAGCTAAAGTGAGGGTCCTCCACCAAGTGGTACTGCTGCTTGTGGAAGCGGTACAGATCCAGCAGGTACCGGGGAACGGGTGCTCCAGGCCGGGGAGTCGGGCGGGACCGCAGCCCCAGTCGAGTCAGCAAGAGGTTCTGAATGGATTGGGCCAGACTGGCCTCTCGCGGAGGCAGTGGGTCGCCGCCAGGGCTGATGGCGCCTCCCTGATGACCCGACAGGACCTGAGGTAGCAGCAGGACCATCAGTACCACAAGGTTAGCAGGGGACATTGTGGATCTGGTGAAAGAAGGTGGGAAAACAGACAAAGGTTAAGGTCAGGCTTTGAAGTTCCGAAACCACAGATGCACGCTTTTTGGTAATCTTCAGGACTTTATCGTATTTAGTGCATGCTCCTATAACGATATAAAGATGTGGTCAGTACTAAAACTAGCTACACCAACCATATGCCAAAACAATGTGACACAAAAGAGCTAAATTATTAAGTCCAAGCATTTATTATCATTGGTAAATAAAGCTTAAAGCAGTGTACTCGGTTGCATGTCATTTTGCACAAAGACTGTCACACAGTTTTGACCCTGAGATAAGTCCTTTAATTCTCAAAGTCCCTCCTTAGAAACAGGAATAAAATTTCTGTCAACCCCACATTATTTCACATGTAATCCTCCACAAGGGGCAAGAACTATTCCTGGTCTGTGGTTTTCTGTTTGTTTGAAAGATACACTTGAAGACTACAGCCTGGCTGGGAAAACAGCCCATGTCCTCACGTCAATATTCTGGCAAAGAAGCTAAGACGAAAATTAGGATTCAGATCTGAGATTTTAAAGTTAATATTACCCCTCTTCAGACCATAACCTGGATCCCAATAAGTCATCCCTATTAGTAACATTATTATTACTGCGAAAGAAATCTTCAATGACACCTCCGCTGGGAAGTTGGTTGTGAGTTCGGACAGCTTTTAACACCTAAAAGGGAGCGTGGAACCCAAAAATAAAGCACGCATATGTATGTTCGCGCAACAAAGGCTGTCTTCGTTTCGTTATAATACTGTTGCGACAGCATTATTAAAAAAAAACAAAAAACAGCAATTTCACTGCATCCAGATGCTGCATGGAAAGATCCCGAGAGAACCAGAAAGAAACATTGTATGACGTATCTCAACTTCGAGTGTGATACCAGGAGAAGGATAAAGCAGACAGGACCGACCAGCTATCCCTCAAAGTACGAAGAGCGAACCGAATAAAGCACCCCTGACTTTAGGTGGAGTCCACACGGGGATAAAGAGAGGACACCTCAACCCGCTTTAGGTTCAGCTCTTCACCCCCGCACTCTTACCACCGCCTACCTTAACAATCCAGGAGGGAAAAAAACACTCTAAAGTTAATTTGGCATCTTCAGGCAGAGAATTCCAACACCCCCCCCCCCAACCCCCCCCCCCCCCACACCCTGTGAGCCATTCGTCTTGCTCTGCGTCATCCCTGTGATTGCTTTTCCTCCAAGTCCTCCCTCTGCCCCAGGAGGTGCACTAATCAAGAGTGCACAAGGCTGCCATCACCTCCACCGGAGTGCCACCCAGCCTCTCGTTAATGCACCTTGGTTGACTCTCCCAGAACTATGACACCAAGACAACAACACCCCCCCCCCCCCACCTCAAGGCCATACGCAACCTGTTGGGCAGTGACGGGGACCATGGGTCCATCATCACTGCCCGTGGGCTCTTATCTCATTCGCCAGGCCTGTGTTTTTTCTTCTGTCTGGAACTCACTTCTCCTGGGGTTCAAAGGCATTTCATGTGTGTTTTTCAGACCCGAAATGGATGGTGTTTTTGCGGAAGACCACCACAGGGCACGTGGCAGAGAGGCAGCCGGAGGGTCACGCCAGTCAGGCTGATTTACCCGACGCCGCTCCCTTTGTGCCACACGTTCCTTTCCTGTTGTGTCCCTCACCTTCCTTTGGCCTCCCTCTCCCTCTCGAGCTGGATCTCCCCCGATGGTGCCCCGAAACTCCATCTGCACCTCTACTCCCTCATACACGTCTGTCCGTCTGCGTGGGCCCGTCTGCCAGCCGGATGCAGCCGCTCCCCTCCCACCGTCTCACTTTCCCGACAGTGTGATTAACTGGAGTGCCTTTTGCTTTTTGCCTCACCGGTGCTATAACGCGATACGCATATATAACGCCATCCCTCTTTGTGTTGGCAGGCGCATTTATGAATGGGAGCAGGACTTCTGTATGCTGGGCCCAGGAGTATGAACAATATTAATCACATGTCAATGAATGGAAGACAGCATGGAACCTGGATTAGATAGATAGATAGATAGATGGATGGATGGATGGATGGATGGATGGATGGATGGATGGATGGATGGATGGATGTAAGTCACTTCTTGCAGCATGTGATGGATGAAATCATGGCAAGGTAGCCTGAACTAGCCTAAGTAGCCCTGAACTCTGGTTTCATTAAAGCATATTAGCATTGTGCTGTACTTGACCTCAGCCTCAGTGATTAAGATGCTAATGCTAACGGCAGTGAGGCCAAGACTACATGCCGCCCCCCCCCACCTATGCCTGACGATGATTGTCATCCCAGAATGGAAACCAGGGGCAAGCGGCTGCCCATGTGGCTTTGGGTAACTGTGTGCCCTCACCCCCCCACCCCCCCCTCTGGGGACGACTCCCTAACAAACAGAGAAGTGAATCCCGAGCCCCAACACCAAGGTAAGGTGTTGCCATCGAGAAACAACCCCCCCCCCCAATTATAGCAGCTAATATATACACAGCCTCACACAGCACTGTGGGGTTCACCTTCCCAGCTCATCATCTGGCACACGCTCGTCACTACACCCTCAGCCGGTGGGTTTCACACGTGCTGTAACACCACCATATATGCAAACAAAGCTTTTTGTTCTGTTTTAAACATGTATTTCTAATTTATATATCAATGCCATTCATTTGCTTAGCAGATTATTTCACCTGAAGGGACTCACACTACTATCATTGTAACTCAAATAACTCAGATTAAGCATGTTGCTTACAGGCCTGGATGTGGTGGTTACTGCTCTGATCACATACAAATTCACTGGTTTTACCTTAAACATTTCCCATTCCTATAAACTGTACTATCTATGCACACACGGGCTGTCGACGCAGTTAATTTTATGTGCTACAGCTTTTATGAGCTGTAACAAGAGGGAAGTCCCAGGACTTCAGAGAATATTGTGAAATGTGTCAGGTGACTCCAAAGCACACCTGATTCCTACTGAATAGAGAGCAAATGTTCACCAAGCACAACGCTGATGAAAAAATCTCATTGTACAGAACGCAATTTACATCAATGCACGTCTGCATGGTTCCCACATTCCAGCACCTTTTCACCCTGCAATCACAGTGCAATAGGTAAATGTGATTGTGTGTGTGTGAGGACTTACTGTGGGCAGCTAATAGCTTGCATGGCACAGCTACAGCACTCGGGTTAAATGCCGTGTGTGCATGTGTGTATGTGTGTGTGTGTGTGTGTGGGTGTGAGAGAGAGAGAGAGAGAGATGTGTCCAGTACTCACATCCAGGAACAGTAGGAAGCTCGTAGAGTCCATGGCTTGTCCTTGCACTCCAGCGTTACAGACCACGCTCCTACAGACCACACTCCTACAGACACCCTCCTCTCTCTCCTGCCCCTTGTAGGTGTTGCAGAAAACAGCCACACTCTCTCCCGCTCAGTCGCTCTCTCCCTCTCTTTCTTTCTTCCTGCTTTTCGCCGTCCTGCTGAAAGCCCAGTGAGGATGAAGACACCCTTCCTCTCATCCCTGTCGCAGTGTCCCAGCTCCAGGCCACCCAGCTCAACCCCTCATCCTGTTACCACAGCCCATAAAAAGCAGCTTCCCTTCGCTGACCTCTGCGGCCTCTCTGCCGCCCACACTCCTGCCTGCCAAACTACAGAACAAAGAAAGGATAAGTGAGAGCAAAGCTAAAACAAGCTTCTTTAAGCAAGCAAAACTTGCAGCTGAATACTTCTATCACTCCCTCTCTCTTTCTTGCTTATTTCTTGCCTCTCTCTCTCTTCCTCCTCCCCCTTTTTCCTCTCTCTCTCTCGCTCTCTCTCTCTCTCTCTTTCTCACTCTGCCTCCCTCCTTCTCTCTCTCTCTCTTATGCTGAGTTGGAGACCCAGCTGGTAAACTCAGCTTAACTCTAATTGACTTTCCTGCCTGTCTGGATCCTCCCTGATAGTGATGTCACTGTGGCAAACCCATGCACTCGCACACACGCGCGCACACACACACACGCACGCACACTCACACACATGCTTCTCGAGATAAGGCCGGGCCGGGGCAGGCCTGAGGGGACGTCCACCCCTGTCGTGGTTCCTCTCGCTCTTGGTCATTCTTGAGCTGTATTGGAACAGGTGCTAGGACAGAAATCAGATGACAAAACAAAGTTAGTCCATTTTGAAACTACATAAAATTTATATGTCTTCCTGAGACCCAAGGAAAAAAGTGTCCTTCAATTATAGGTTATTTGTCTTTGGAGGAAATCAGACATCTTACAATTTAGATTTTTTCAAATTTATTTTTATTTTTAATTTCACAGCATGTCCTCTTTAGTGTACAACAGGAATAAATATGTTTCTTCAAATAAGTGAAAAGATAGATGCAAAAACAACACGTCCACTACAATGGACATAAATGAATGGGTGGGGTCTCAGGAGGTTACAAAAGGAATAAAGTATCATTTCTAAAGGTCATTTCTAAACCTCTCCCAAAGTCACTCCAGTATTTGCAAGCACAATGCAATACACCCACGTATTTCTTCACTCGACCACTGGCACATCTCATATGGCTAATCAATACTTCAATTACTTTTTTCATTCATTAAAATAATTAATTAAGTGAGCTGAATGTGAAATGTAACAAGCACATGGGATGGCTGAGGTGCCCCTGAGGAGAGGTTTGGGAACTGAAGCGGTGTAGCCATCCAACAAGATATCTGCAACTTCTTGGAGAATGAAGGAAATTCTTGTTAGTTTTTATTGTGTTACTTTTAATTTGCACATCTTCTAATGTTAAATTGTGTTTTTTGTTCTGAGCACATATATACTGCCCAGATAAATAGCCTTAAACATTTCCTTTGATTGCCTAAGACTTTGGCAGAGTACTGCATATATATTTTTACACACTGTATTGAACTCTCATTATTCTTTTACTATATAGATGTACAATACATACACCATTTCAGTTTCACACCATGCATGTATAGCACAATGCTTCTTCCACTTGTTTTGTCCCAAATTAGATGCCAAACTGCATTCATCGACTGAGTATTTGTACTTTGTTTGACAACAATAAAATTGAAACTAATCTGAATGTAATCTGATTATTGCTTGACAACCCCCCCCCCCCAAAAAAAAAACTTTCACCCTTTTAACATAGCTCCCCCCCACACCCCCACCCGGGAATGGGATAAGCAATCTGCTATCCCCCTCCCCTCCATGGCACACCCTTTGGATGCACAGTGGTCGTAGCTCTGTACTTGGGAGGCACCCCCCCACACACACACATATTCAAAAAGCTTTGTGTTTTGCTTTGAGAAGTGCCTTCAAAAGAGCACCGGTGTCTACTGTGCCGCTGCTCATCCTCCGTGAACTTCTGATCCTGCTCTGACAGCGTGGAACAGTGAGACCTCAGTAAGCGTCAACACCTTCAAAAGGAGTCCAGATGTACGGAAAGGGACAGATGTAAGATCTCCAAGTCTGGGTCAAGGATGCTGGCTAATCGAAAGCACAAGTGAGCGATCATCCTACAGGGCCTTGATGAACGGGCTGCAGACACTGCCTGACCTGACACAGGGAACTAATGTGCGAGAGTTTTGTTTACAACAGAGCTTCTCTGTGCCGTGTGTTTCAGTAGGGTTTTCATTAAATTCTTACCAACCTCAACAACGGAAACGTAACAAGGCCAGAACCAAGCTTTATCAATCTGAAACCTGTTTGCGACCTGATACCCAATTAAAACAATTCAATCTTGACAATGTTCATAACATAGCGTAACGTAATGTAAAGTAACGTAACATAAACGAACGTAAATTGGCTTTATGTGAGGTCATCCTTCAGTTTTCCAAAACAGGTGATTCAGTGCAAAGTTGTGCAGAGCATGAAACTGAACCCGTGATGCTGTGGGTAATGGGTAGGGGACAGTATTAAGAAAGTCATCATTTCAGCAGAAACTCAAGGTTTTCATTGGTTTTTAAGCATGCAAACTCTTTAATATTCTTTCTCATCATTCCAGCCTTGCATTCTCAAGTGAGAAGCAAAGTTTTTTTTTAATAACATATTTATAGCACTGTGCTTATAGTGTTCCTGTGAAAACCTGCTTCCAAGTCGACCCAATGGGCTTATTAAAAATATTAGCTTGACCCAGATCCAACGGGTCCTGATGAGTTTAGGTCATTTATCAAAGCTCCGCCTTTGAGCCGTGACGGCCTGTATTGTTCCAGTAATGCGATGGCTGTGCACTGTTGCCACGTTTCGGGTCTCCGAGGGGGCGGCGAGGAGGTCACTTTCACTCCCAAACATTTCTTAGAGTCAGACCTCATGGAGTAAAAAACAGATTCTCACTGACTTGTTTTCCACTCGACGGAAAAGATGGCCTCTGCATCTGGTCCAAATACACCTACGGCCAGATGGGCCCGGGGGATTACGGAGCGAAAGGTTGCCTGTTCTCAGCTTCGCTCTCACCTCCTTCTCGCTTTGCCATTTCTTGGAGCTCACAGAGTGTAAAAATCACAGTCAGCCACCAAGAGAGGAGGAAAGGAGGTGAGGATGGGGATCCCAAATGCAGGGAGGGACTCTGCACTCACAGCTGGACGGTGCACACAATATGTGTACAACTGTGGGAAGCGTATTTATGATTAGAGCTTTCACCTTTTAGGGGTTTGAACCCATAAGCAGGTGGTCTGCAAACAGCTGTGCTACTCATTGCCTCCGATGGGGCCTCTGAATATATTTTAATACAACCCAGGGTCCTATTAAAGCAAAATTCAGATCCCACACACAAATAACAAACTTGCCACCGATTTTCACTGGCACTCAAAAAAAGTGGCAATTAATTTAAGTTATTTTACTGTGGTTTTCTAGCTATAAAACACGAATGGAAGACACTAAAGCTTCTTGGATTTCAGCATTTGTCAACCTGGTTAATGAACAAACATTTGTTACGCAACAAAGACACTTAACATTTGATCACATCACTGTCGGATGAACTTGCGTTGGCAACCATTAGCATTAGAGGCAAGAATATACGCAGTGATTCTCCAGAAGCAGGGCATGAATTCTGGCACCGCCTGGTCATTAGAAGAACAGCAAGAGGTGGAAAGGCACTTTTCTGCTAAGTAATACAAATATAAAATACACACAAAATATCCACTTACATTCCCAAAAACCAACTATAATCTCTCCCTGTTGAAAGCTTAGACCTCTCTGAGTGATATGTACTGGGCATTCTTTTTATGGCACCAAGAAATACATTTTTGCTCGTTTGTATACATCTGCTGTATCAGATGGAAATTCTTTTTTGGGAGGTAGGGACTTTGTTAAAAAGGTTGTTGCTAAAATGTATTTTTTTTCTGTGTAAGTCATTCATTTCTGTTTCAAATCGTGCAGCCTTTTTTGGTGACATCTCTAACTCATGGGAGGTCCTCCTGCAGGCGAAGGGAAACTGTGAAGAAGATCATCCTATTTAAGTCACGTCTGTCTGCTCTTTGGTCCACAGCGGGAACGGGGTCCTGTGTAGGGTGGGGGCAACGGCAGCGGGGGAAGGAATTCAGTAATATTGCGCACACACACACACACACTCACAGGCAAGCTCAACAGTAACAGGAATTCCAAAGTGCATTTTTGCAGAGATAAGATTCCTTTCCCCTGAGTTCACTGGTTGGGAGACGGAGCTTGTGGGGCGGAAATGGTTGTGGAGAGGCTGGTAGGAGTTTTACCCATTCCTCTCATTTGGACATCTGCGGCAAACCCGACCCCCCCCCCCCCCCCACTTCAGCCTAAGTACCCCTGCTGTACACGCAATGTATTGCTTGAAAATGCAGTGTTTGCTGAAGAACTTCCAGCGTAAACTCTGCAAACATTTGCCGCACTCTCCTCTCCAGTGTCCACATGGTGAAGCTCCGCCCCCTAGGTCATACCTTCTCAGCTTGTGGCAGTGATGTAATCACCACAAACATTGGGAACAAGGTTGCCACGGTGAAGTGGGCTGAGAGGGGAGGGGCTATTGTTTTTGTCCTTGATATCAAGTTTTAATAACATAATATGTGGAAGGGATGCAGGTGACGTGGTGCATTTATTTCCTGGAAGTCACATGTGTGGAATAACAAATAGCTAAGAAGATTCACTGAGTCGATCGGCGGTCCTGGGGATCCATAACTATTTGATTCCATTTGTTGAACTATTGTAATGAACGTTATTCGTTTTTTTCTCTAGAGAATATCAGAACAATACAACCAATCCTCATTTAGTAACAGTACAGTACAGATGCTCCCTGGGTTAGGATGTTCCGTGTTACGTCAGCTTTACGATGGGTATTCTAATTCCATTCCGTTTTTTTTTTACTTTCAGTACATTATTGAATAAATTACATGAGATATTCAACATTTTATTATAAAATAGGCTTTGTGTTATTGACTTTGCCCAACTGTATGCTAATCTAAGCATGTTTAAGGTAGGGTACTACCTTAATACTAATATTTCATTTACTTTTTTAATTAATTAACTTAATTGATTTAGTGAGCTGGTGGTGAAATGTAACAAATACATAGAATGGCTGTGGTTTTCCTGAGGAGAA